GTCAGCTTTGGGACCGCGCTGAAATCCGTTTTAAATTTGCCTAGAGTTTCATTTTTTTTCATCGATACAGTCGACTCCCGGTAATTCGAACCTTCAAGGGAAATAGGAAAAAGTTCGAGTTATCGGGAGTTCGAGTTATCGAGGGTAAAATTATATAGAAAACGATCTTAAGGGAAATGAAAATTGCTTCGAGTTAGTGGGATCGAGGTTCGAGTTATAGAGGGTTCCAGTTACCGGGAGTTGACTGTATATTTAACTACAAACCTGTTTCTGAGTATTCTTTTACTCATCCTATAATATAATTGTTTATAAAATAACTAAGATACTACGCACGCTCTGATTGGCCTAGAGGTGTGTTTCATGAGTTTATGTAAATATGGTTGTGACAGTGGTTGCGAGTGCGTCAAGATGTTTTGTTTTTCGCGCGCCAATCACGCAAGCACGAATTTGAAAAAGTTTTTGAGTCAAAAACTCGACAAGTTTACTTTACTTACCCATTCCCTCGTCGGCTGAGACTTGGAAAATCTCTACAAAACATGCTGAATCAATTTTTTTTCGCTTAAGCTGACATTTTAAGGGAGAAAAATCCATATTTTGGAAAGCATAATTATTGGCGACTGGTAAGAATTTCTCTTTAATCAGTGCCAAAGAGTTTTGAGTTTTTTTTTGTTTTTTTTTCGAGAAAGTTAATTTATAAAAGCTGTAGAAAACGTTTTTCCTGTATTTGCATAGCCTGATATAAACACGAGAGAGGTTTGTAAAATTCTCGACAGTAATGTAAACCCGACGAAGGGTGAAAAACAGTTTGAATCGCGTATCTTATAAAATGCATGAAAATAAAATAAAAAATCCCCGTTTTCAATAACATCCGGGTACGTGTGGACAGGGCCTAAGTTGGTACTTAAGGGCTTCATGAAACAGATCTTTATTTAACGGGTAAACTTTCTAGAAAATGATTAGCTTTGTTCATTCAAAAAAAGCATTTTCTAGTAATTTCTACGAAGATTAGAAGAATGTTAGAAGTTGCCTTTGCCCTCCTTTGATATTTTCTGCTAATATTCAACCGTAGAAGAAAATCAAGCGAGCAAATAACTGAAATTTTGTAGGCACTTTTATTTCAGTAACTAAGTTGAAACTGACCAGCCGCCTAGATTTTAGCTTCATTGTCTTGGCCTAGATTATTCCACCTTTCTAATTACTATATTTATACAAAAATATGGCCAAAGGAACTGAACATGATATAACAGCATAACTTGATTCAGGTTGTTCCGAATTTCAGTTCAACTTGATAAAAGACAGTTCTAAAGTGACTTAACCATAAACATAGCCTGCGAAGCGCAGACGCATTTCCGGTCGTCGCTTCTCTCCCTCCGAAAAATAGCGTCTGCGAACCCGAGCGACAAAACGATTTCCGTGACGTAAAACCTTTTGTTTTGATGTAGGCCAATCAGATCAAAGGATAGAATACAGCTCGAGTGACTCCTCGCGACCTCGCGCGCTGAAGTGTCTTGGATTTTGGAGAGAATTACCAAATACGCTTTGGAACGTGAATTTCACGACCATAACAAGGTTTCCTGCGACGTTGAATGCTGACTTCTTTATGAAGCAACTGCTTCTTAAGCTATGTATGTGATGTGGGCCTTTGGTTTCGCTTTATAAAATACGGTAGTACGTGACATAAACAAAACCTGGACAAAATAATCGCTACAGCGAAAGGAAAGCAACATAGCTTAATGACATCGCGCTCAGACTTATTTATTTCAATTTAACCAGCGCTGACAAAAGGTGGTGAATCAATTACACAGACACATCCTTGACTGATTCAGAAATCTCTAACAATCGCTCGTTAATAATTCTAGTATCGCCACAACACAATGATCTGAAATATTATAAACCTGGGCCAGACCCAGCGTGAAATAAATAGTTACAGCAGTAAATAGATCATAGTCAAAATGACATTTCAGCTACGACGCTTCTACTCATCTCACAAAAAACTATGGAAATGAGAACCTTGAAAAGAACATGTATTTAAAGAAATATACCGGAGCAAATATAAAATGCTTTCGATCTGATCAAAGTTCTATCTGAACCAAGAAGCAACCACGCATGGGAAATCAATTACCACATGTCCTACCTTTCAAAGATAAAGGATATCTACTAAAAAATATCTAAAACGGCACACGACAAACTATCGAAGAGTTCTCCAAGGCATACTTTCCTGCCAGGAACCAGAAAGGAACAGAAGCAACAAACGGCATGATGCGTCTACTGTCATTAGGACAGTTATCGTTTCGAATATGATCAAAACAACTACGTCTGATAAATCATTGACTCCGTAGGCAAATAGATGAAAAATGTCCTCTAATCTTTTCTTCGATATGAATCCTCTTGATACTTATTTCGTCAATCAGTCCCACAATCCTGGCAAATTAACTTTCGTAAACGCGTCGTTCTGAGAAAAAAGGACGGCTATACACAAGCCACGTCGTCCTTTCAATTTCGACTTGAAAACATATCCATCGCGCACGATCCTGCGAGAAGTCTCGCGAGTTAGTTCCTTGATTTTAAGAGCTAAACCGCGATTGGCTAAAAATGTTTTACGTCACGGAAATCGTTTTGTCGCTCGGGTTCGCAGACGCTATTTTTCGGAGGGAGAGAAGCGACGACCGGAAATGCGTCTGCGCTTCGCAGGCTACCATAAACAAAGGTCGGAAAACTCTTTTTATGCACTTTGTTTTTATACTGTCATATGCTTGTATTCAGTCTAACGATAAAAATCACTGTCATGAAAGCTATTGTTCATGGTGGTATGTGTATATAATCATCATCATTATTTTATGCTACACGGAAAACTCCAAACTATTCCATCGTCATAGTGACCTTGCATCATGTTTTGACTCTATGCTGCATAAAATGATTTCCTTAGTTTTTACTTTTTGAAAATAAAGTGCTTCTACTATGAATCAGTGGAAGATTCGGTTCTACATTTGTGGTAAGCGCTAGCTTACTCATCCAAACCCTACGAAAAAGGGGGCCCAGCCGCGAAAATATTTTTTCTCGGCCCTTTAGGATCAGTTTGGCTAAAAATAAGGAGGGTTCCCGGATCCGTGGGACTCCTCCTCTAGATCGTTCTGTTTACACTTTATTCAAACATTCAAAAAAACTCTACAGTCTTACAAAGGGACGACCATCACTAAAGCTTTATCTAAGGACTTGTCGCAGTGTTCGCATTTCACTGTGACATTCCAAAAGGCACCACAGGCTGAAAGTTTGAGAAAACGCTGCAATTTCATTTCGTGACAGTCTCTGTCAAAAATTGCCGCACGGCAGGGCAGTAGAAGTATCTATTCATTTCTACAACAGTTTTCGGACTGCAATACTTCGACAGGTGAAATAAACAAACGGTGATTAAAATTCAAAGACAGCTTTAAAAACAAGCAGTTCTAAGCACGGGTACTCAGATCGCCAGTTGGTGATTTCTCGTCTTGTTGCAGAGCGAGAGCATGCCCAGTTCATTTTTTTATTGTACCATTCGGTTTAAAGTTCGTATGATCAAATATTCGTGTGATTAATTCAGGAAGAAATTTATAAAACAATAAATCTTACACAACGGGTGTTGAAAACAAGCGACTCAATAGAGCATAATTACTGATAAACCTAGCCTTCAAGTAAGGTCTTTTTTTTTTTTAGTAGCGTTGTACCCTACACTGGGTAGGAGAAAGTCACTAACGTCATTCCGAATATAGATATAAATATCAGACTCTGTGTTAGGCTATTTACAAGCCTACACTTAAAGCTTTAAAGGAGGTATTTAGTACACTAAGAATGTAAAACTTATTGTAACTAACAACTAAATGTCAATTGCTTGCAAGAGAAATGTTTCTGAAATCTGGACGCTATCAAAGATTTTTATTCTTATCTTTTTAATATAATTTTTCAATTGTACTTTTTTTTCTTTTTTGACGCGGGTGAAGCGAAATCTTATTCTCGAGGACAACATTCTGTGAATTAAACTACGTAATAAAGAAATAGAGTAATCGAGTCTGAAGAATTCAAATGTTATTAAACTTTAAAGATTTTGGACAGGAAATAATGTCTTTCATAAAAAATATGTATATGTATGAACAGTAATTGGTAAAGATCAGAACGGGTTATATTACAGATAGTACAAGATAAAACGTCACAAATATTGTTATTAATGTAATACAACATTACTGTAACTCACCGTTTAAGAGATCGAGATGATGAATGAAACTATTAAAGTTAATGCCGACATAGGGGCAACACATTTTTTGGACGCAGACCATTATTTACATTCAGCTTTATTCAATTTTTTCGCCATTAGAAAATCATTTTGTGGAGATTTGCCGAGAAAACTGCAAATGGCCCGGAAATGACGTGCTAGTTAATCATTTATCTGGAAACATTATTGTAGAAGGCTACTTGTCAGCCTAAAAGGATAGGATTTGAAATTAAAATTTGTGTCGGTGCAAATGAGGTTTAATGTACAGTGCTAGATTGCCCCCACACAAAGAGTAATATCTATTTTTTTTTAATATTAGATTAAAAGTGTCTTTTATAATAATGAAGAGATTGTAATTTTACCTTTTTAACGGCTTGTAGCTTTCTGATGAAAAACTGGTGGGGTCTGTCATGCTATGGTGCAGCTGGTTTTTATATTTACACGGTTTCCATAAACCCTCTATACGAGATATTTGCCTACGTAAAAAATTGAATTTTTTTTTGTACATGCCATATGGCTAAGAGGCAATACATTTAAAAGTAAATGTTCTGTTATTACTGGCTAAGCCCAGAGTTCATATAATGATATGATTTATTTTCATGGTAGGATTCTTTTATCGTTTATCCTTTTAACGGGTCGGTTTCCGTCGGTGTCATAAAAATTGAACAAGTATTTATTCACATCTGTCAGTTTCCTGAATCAATTAAGATAGCGTGAAAGAGCAGGCGTGAAGTTAAAGTTCTTTGTTGTGAGAGTACACTGACTCGAACAATAAGATGAGCAAAGCGAACAAAACTGAATATCAAATCATTTGAAGCATCATTTGCAGTTCTGTATGTCTAAGGAGCTCTTTTCCATTGGTTTTATAGGAGGTACGTTTTAGTAAAAATCATAAAGTTTAGTTCCTTACACAAATTAATGGCGAAAATATAAACATAGAAAGCATGTAAGCATCGACTACTATAGATTTCTCAGGCACCTGCTTATTTTTATTTTTTTTTATAGAGTGTTGTAAAATGTTTCTTGTTATAAAGTTCCTTTCTCTCCCGGAGATTTCTATGTAAAAGACCATTATGTTTACAATATGATTGTCAGGTAAAAAGAATTACAGCATCTGATTATCCTTAGGGTAGTGTAAGCAGTATTTTTAATTTTCGTTATAAAAATTGAAAGCAGTGACACTGAACCCCACTGAGTTTCTTCTATCCAGGCGTTCTCAGTTTCTGAACTTAAATTGGATTTCTGGAGTCCATTTCCAAGTTTTTTATGATAAATAGGTAATAAAATAAATAATGATTTAGAGGTACTATTAATATAATGAGAGTGGTTATTCGTGCAACCATCCTCAACCGTTCTTGATCGAATAGGAATTTTGAAAGTTTGCTCTTTGAGGAGATCTGAACCACTCGGAACAGAGAGCAGAACCAACAACAAACTTAACCAACATATGTCGTCGATGTCGGGATTTGCGTGCCCGCCTCGTTGCTGGGAAACGAGTGTTCCCAACACTGCCGGTCATCCTTTCTCTCTAAAGTGGTTTTCCACTGTCGCGTATATTTTTCGCGCGTGCACACGAAAAATTTACACGGGTAAATAAAATAAAGGCACTTGTTGAAAAGGTCGCGCGTGAACGTAAAACGTTACGCGCGACCTTTCATACATTGCCTCAGTGCTTTTAAACGTAAAAGTTGAAGCTCTACTATTTTAGAAATCCACTTTATTTAGGGACGGAACATAAGAAAATGGGGTTGAGAGGGGGTTTCTGCTTATCTTTTTTTTTTTTTGGTTTGCATAGTGTGTTTAAGGGTCGATAATCGTTTACGAGAGTTTGCACTTTTCACAATATTATTGTTGCAACTGTTATTGAGGAAAAACTAGTACTTTACAAAATTGAGGGCCCTTAATGTTCAGTGCAGCAAGATTTATATCCTTTGCTGTGTTTGCCTGAGGGAGCTTAGAATGAAACAAGTGTCCGCAGCTGTGTCCCCCTCGCTTACTAGAGTGTGTAAATAAAGAATTTGTTTGGGAATTCAGACGGGGTTTTGTTTTCTTTTCTAAGGGTAAGGATTTGAATCTTGAGGGGAAGCTTTCCAGTGTAAAGTTCGGGTTGTATATTCCCTTTTCGTCTTTATTATTTAAGAAAATGTGTAGACTGTGCCTCCCGGAGGCTCTGAGGTCTTGAAACATGCATTTGAAGGTCAGCTTCCATTTTTGCTTCTACCGTTTTGAAGCATTTTATGAAACGTTCGCTGCAAATTTTAATTTCTAGTTCGAAACTTAGCGCAATGAAAAAATTCTCCTTTTGATTAAAAATAATAATAATAATGTCAGTGTATGGACTCTATATAATGTACAATCGTAGATTTTAATATGAGGGGTAATATTGCCATGTACTCCTCAGCAAACGCAGTAAATGAAAGTTATACGAGGATTTAAAGGTTTAGATTGAGACGTCTAAATATATTTTGAAAACGTTTTCTCTCGAACATAGTACGAGTTGACTGGTAATGTAATTCACGGAGCAATTTTAACGCAAGTTCTTAGACTAAGTTAACACTTAACCCTAAATTTTGTTACTTTTTGAAGAGTTTGTGAACTCCAAATTCGCTCTTTTTTTCTGAACGGTGTTCCTGAACATTATGTTTGTGTTGTATTGTTTGTTGTGCTGTGAATGATCGACCTCTTCAACTTATCTCGGAGGGGCTCTTTCCTATTAGTTTCAGTGTTAATTGTCAGAACGGATAGTCGAGAGGGATTGAACCTCTATGGAATGAGTAGATGACTTCTAAAGGAGCGATACCTTTACAGTTTTATACACTCATTGGTCTTCTCCTTGAGTTGAGCTTAGAAAACCTAGAACGCACGGTCGAGCGAGAAAAATGTGTCGACGCGCGAAAACCGCGAAAGAGGAGCGTAAGTTTAACATCCTCAACTTTTTTCGCCAGAAGACTTTTGACCGCCGAGAATATCAACATTTTCTGGATGGTGAAACATATCAACATATCTGGATGATGAAAGATTTGAGCCTTACATTTCTTCAGAGCAGCTTCTGTAGCGTAGTACACGGGGATCTCGACTGACAGTTGACAGTAAATCTATCGTGTAAAACTTAGTTACCTGTTGTGCTGTTAAGCTTCACTAGGCGGTCCTCAGGAGTTTCGAATTTGTTGATGGAAGTCTTATACAAGCTGTCAAACTTTCGTTATAAAAGCTATCAACGATAACAGGAACAGGCTGTAATTATTCTGCAAAGGGTGGAGCTGCAGCTAAGTCTGACTTTTAGCTACTTCGGTGAGATCTGTTCCCTCCTCATGTCATCAGTGGAAGAGTGAAATCTAAACTGCGTTCACTCGAATATTCTATATTTAACCATCATATAAGTGAACAATTTGCCGCGTACATACGGTCTCTTTTGTTTTCTTAATACACAGTAATGAAACTTGCAAACAGTTTGTCACCTAAACGTCGCATGATTATGGGTTATTAAGGTTGTAACATATCAACATCCTCTGTTGGGAGCAAAGTGTCGACAGTGTTTTAATGGCTACCACAAATATCTTTAGACTGATCGAATCAGAAACACATATTAAGCTCACTAAACGGAGCCCTAGTGAATCAACAAGATTTCATGTTATAACAAATGCCAGCCGAGTACGTTTCAAAACCGTTTACTAGTAAAAACAACAAAGACTTTTAAAACTGTATTAATAAACGCATAAATGACTAACGACAAGAGAGAATAATCTAACGACAAAAACTTGAGAGACGCACGTTATCAAGGATGTCTTAGTATAGAAATAAACTGTGATAATGATGATTGATTTTCGTAATAATTGAGGTACTGGCAATAACAAACTGTATTGTTTGTTCCGTTGCAATCAAATGCGATGTTCGATGCGCATTAAATCTAGCCGGAATAATAAAAAAATAGAACTATAAATTTTTCATTATTTATATATTTTTTTCATTTCTGTTTTCATTATATTCTCTATGATTAAAGCTTCCCGCTAATCTTACAGACCTTTTGCGTCAAATACCATGAATGCTAATTACATAGCAAAATCACAATCAGATTGCCAATTCCCAAACAAGTTTCAACACTCCTATAATCTTTGATAAATAACACGCTAGTACGCGGCAGTATTGATGTAGCATCCAGACCAAGAATGTTACTGCATGAAAATAAAAGTTAATGGGCCCGTTTTAACGCCTGTATTAGCTTGGGTAAAGAGGGGTAAAAACACAAGCACACGACTAGAATTCATTTCACAACATATTTGTAAATATTAATATATAATACGGCAAAGACGTTTAAAATTGTATAATAACCGTATAATGACTATAGACGAAAACTTGAGTCACACACTTTATTAAACAGCGTCTCGTACGACTCATTAGCGTACATCCCATACTTAAAAAGGGTACCTTATTGGTTCGCCCAGGGTTCGCCATTTAGAAGTGTCTTTGAATTTAACGGTCGATGAATTTAACAAAATCAGTTATAAATTTGTTGTAGAATGCAAACGTTATTCTAGAAAATAAATTGCTAAAGCAATGATTGATTTTTTTTTAATAATTAAGGTATTGGTAATAAAAAATTGAATAATTTCTTCAGTTGCAATGATGCGATGTTCGATGAGCTTTCAGCTAGAATAATGGATAAACATATCATATATTGCTTAATTTCTCCTTTTTTTGTTTCATTATGTTCGTTATGATTAAAGCAATCTAACCCCTCTAAGGTCAAAATACAGAGCTATTGCCATACACCGAAAATCACAATCAGATTTCTGATTTCCCGAACAAGATTTCATCCAATCCAAAATACTATGCAATTCAGATGACCTTGCTGAGACGCAATACAAGCAGACCATGGTTACTGTATGCAAAGAATAGCAAATAATACCAAACGCACGAAAGAAATTTGCAAAATTGTAAAATGTCTTTGTCGTGTACTATGGAAACAGGGGCGGATCTAGGGGGAGGGTGCAGGGTGTGCGCCCCCCCCCCCCCCCCCCCCGAGATGACCTGCGGTTTTCTAATACAGCGGGTATTCTGCAAAAAAAAAAACTATGTGGTTTATTGGTGTTGAAGTAGAGCAAGAGACGACTGCACCCCCTCCTAAAAAAAATCCTGGATCCGCCCCTGGAAAAGTACTATGAAAAGTATTTGCCAAATTAGACAGACGTTGGGAATACACATAACTCCATTGGGATTCAGTTTTATTTGACTAAAATTATATGGCCATCGTACATAGTTTTGTAGAAGGATACTTAAAATAGTTATAACCGTTAATGATTCTCTGTAAAAGGGGAAAAATGGAAGACGATGACGGATTGAACCTCTTATAACAGATGCCAAAATTTGAGAAACAGTTTCCAGCAATATACCTAGTATATTCCTTACAGCGAATCCGATTCCTCACTAAATTAAGTGTTGTACTTACTTTTGCAGTTCTTTCTTCGTGAAAAGCGAGTGACATCATATTTGAGAGCAGAAAAAGACTATGACTCTAGCCCCGACCGGGACAGATTCAGGGACCATCCAACCAGAAACCAACCTATCAGGTGGCGATACGGGCCAAGGAGCTAGCCAATCACAGAATGCTCTTGAAGTTGCCTTCAGTATAATCGCGAGCTGTGCTTTTGTGTTCAACCTTGCCTTCTGTGTAGTGCTCTTAAAGAAACGTGCCATGCTAAAAAAGCCACATAATTCTCTTCTGTTTAACTTGGCCTTGACTGATTTACTTACAGGTACAGTATGCTTTGATTTAAATGCACTTTTGTCTTACCCAAGGATGGTATGGTAGATCGGTATATATCTTTAGAGAACATATGTCAAGCATTGAATTAGTTTAGTTTACAGCTTTGAGATTTGATTGCAATAGCCAATACCCACCTTACTTCGATGAATAATAGTTAGATATCCGATGAATAGCGCTATCCATCGTTTGAAACACCAGGCCCAGATAAATCACTGTTCAAAGGAGGCAATTGTTTTCCTTATACTTATCCGCCGTGATTTATATCTAGTAGATATCCCTGTCCAGCGTTTGAACAACCCTGAATTAATTTCTTTCTTGACAGGCGCCTTCCTGATTTTAACACCCGGTTACGTCTCGGATAAACCCTTGTTTCCAATAGCCGACGGGTTTGGTGGTCAGCTGTTTTGCGCGCTGCTGGGAAATAGGTACCTCCTCTTTCTGGTGGCCAAAGAATCTGTTTTCCTGGTCACATGTCTTGCCGTGGAACGCTGGTACTGTGTGATGAGACCAATGGAGTACAAAAAACACTTTGGAAGAAAAAGACTCTTAATTTACATAGTGGTTTCTTGGATCGCTAGCTGCGCTTTGCAAAGTCACAAATTTCTTGAGCAAAAACTCAGTGGAAATAAATGCGTTCCTGTTGATGTTCCCTATGGTAGAGAAGGTGCACAAGCATTCATTTCCATCAAAAGTGTCAGCACTTTTGTGATCCCTTGTTTCGTCACGTGGCTTACCTTTGCTCATATAAAGTTTCGTGCACCTGTTTATCTGAATGACAAATCATCGCACAGTGAGCGCCGGGAAAGACAGCAAAAGCTCGTACTGCGCATGTGCGCTTTCACAGCTTTTGTGGTCACATTGTGTTGGCTTCCCGCCCAATTGAGTTACACTTTAACTCCGTTTGGTATCACTCGCGTTAGCAGTCCGTTCCACAAAGCGTTCAATGTTGTTTCGCTCGTTAACTCGTGTATAAATCCTTTTATATACTGGTATTATCACAGGGAGTACAGAGAAGAATTCATCCGGCTTTTCTGTTTCTGCAAACTCGCCAAGAAAGTTGTTATCGGTAAACAACAAGACGTGAGCCCCTCAAGTAGCAAGTCTTGAATTTTCGTCAAGAACTGGAACTAGCTTGAAGTCGAGGCTGATGCAGAACCTGCTTGTTAGCCGAACGCGAAACCGGCTTGAACCACTCCCCTACAAAAATAATCGGTCAACGTACCTTATAGGGAGCCCAAGAGGTACTGAACAAAATCAGATTTTATACGCAGAGGCATCTCCCTCAGGTCTTCCCCCGGTTCTTCCAATAGACCATTTTAGTCACAGAAGGTACCCCTTTCATATACCTTTTATTGACAAATGGTACCCCTTTCACATACCACGTTAAAAAATGAATAAATCACCAGGCCAGAAAATTGCCTTGTCCTTTCAGGACAAAATACGCCTGTTAGCCCTCAGTTTAGTTCCTTTCACAGACCGCAATGACATCCAAAAAACGGCTGCCAGGGAGACTAGCCTTCAAGCAAGATCTTTTTTTTCCTTTCAGTAGCATTGTACCCTACACTGGGCAGGAGAAGGTGGTCATTCCCAATATAAATATTAATAAATATCAGACGCAGTGTTATTTACAAGCCTACACGTTAGGTTTGAAGGAGGTATTTTAGTACACTAAGTATGTAAAAATAAATGTAACTAATAACTAGATGTTAATTGCTTGCAAGAGGAATGTTTCTGAAACTGTCAGTTTTGACCTGGTAGAATGGAATTAGTCAGTTTTTTGTTTCATTCGTTTGTTTGCTAGCAACTCCTATTTTCACATTTGCCTATTTTAGAAAAAAAATGTACGTTTTTTTCCCCTTATCTTTTTAATATAGTTTTTCAAATGTACTTTTTTCTTTCGTTTTTGACGCGGCTGAAAAGAAATCGTATACTCAAGGACGACTTTCAGCTTTAAACTACGCAATAAAGAAAAAGTAATCGAGTCTGCAGAATTGAAATGTTATTAAACTTTAAAGATTTTGGAAAGGAAATATTGTCTTTCATAAAAATATGTATATGTATGAGCAGTAATTGGTAAAGATCAGCACGGTTGATATTACTGATAATAAAGATAAAAAATCACAAATATTGTTATTATCGTATACAGCATTTCTGTAATTCACCGTTAAAGACACCGAGACTTTGTAGAATTCTTGATGAATGAGACTAAGTTAATGCCGACATAGGGGCAACAATTTTTTGGACGCAGGATCATTTACATTCGATTTTTTTTTCGTTTTTTGTTCGCCATTAGAAACCCATTTTCTCTGGAGATTAACAGAGAGGAAACCGCAAATGGCCTGGAAATGATGTGCTAGTTAATCATTTATCTGAAAACATTATTGTAGAAGGCAACTTGTCAGTCTAGAAGAAAAGGATTCAAAATTAAAAATTGTGTCGGTGCGAATGAGGTTTTAATGTACAGTGCTAGATTACCACCATACAAACGAGTAGTATCTATTTTTAATATCAGATGAAAAAGTATTTTAATAATAATGAGGAGATTGTAACCGTTTACCTTTTTAACGGCTTACTGCCTTCTGATGAAAAAGTGGGGTGCAAGCGAAACCTCTGCTCGCGGAGTAGGTCTGTCGTGTTGTGGTACAGCTGGTTTTTATATTTAAGCGGTTTCCATGAACCTAATCTAAAGGTAATCGCCTCTGTAAAAAAATTGAATTTTTTTTGTGTATATGTCATATTTAGATAAATATTTGTCTAAGAGGAAATACATTTAAAAGTAAACATTCTGTTATTTCTGGCTAAGCCCAGAGTTCATATAATGATATGACTTATTTTCAAGGTTGAATTCGTTTATCTTTTATCCTTTTAACGGGTCAAAGTTTTTTCTTATCAATAGTTTCCGTCAGTGTCATAAAAATTAAACAAGCGTTCATTCACATTTGTCAGTTTCCTTGAAGCAATTAACCTTCAATATCAAGATAGCGCGCATGAGCAGGCGTCTAATTCAAGTTCTATGTTATGGGAATACACTAACTAGAACATATGATGAGCATATTTGGAACAAAACTGATAGAATCTCAAATCATTTGAACCATTATTTACAGTTCCTGTTTATCTAAGGAGCTCTTCCATTGGTTTTATAGGAGGTAAGTGTTAGTACAAATATAGTTTTAGTTCCTTACACAAATTAATGGCGAAAATATGAAACATAGAAAGCATGTACGCATCAACTTCTACTTTTTTTTCTTAGGCACCTGTATAATTTTAATAGAGTGTTTTAAAAAATATGCGTGTTATGTGCTGCTGAATCTTTCTTCCTTTCTCTCCTGGAGAATTCTGTGGAAAAGACCATTATGTTTTGTAATTTTCACCCCAAAAGAATTACAGTAACTGATTACCCTTAGGGTAGGGTAAACAATATTTTTAAATAAAATTTTCATAATATAAATTGGAAGTGACACTGAACCCCGCTGTGTTGTTATGGGGACTTTTAAATTCCCTTTCTATCAAGGCATCCTCAATTTCTGAACTTTAATTTGGCTTTCATAAAAAGGGAATTGAGCGTGCTGGTTCTGGAGTTCACTTCCAAGTATTTTTTTTTGCTAAATAAGTAATGGAATAAATAATGATTTAGAGGTACTATATAATAATAATAATCGTTTTTCGTGCGACCGACCTCAACCGTTCTTGATCGAATCAGATCGAAAAGAAATTTGGAAATTTTGGTTTTTGAGGAGAACAGAGAAAAACACCTGAGTGGTCAGAGATAGAAACCTCTCGAACAAAGAGGAGAACCAACAACAAACTTAACCAGCATATGTCGTCGTCCATGCGGGGATTCGCGCGGGCCTCGTTGCTAGCAAACGAATTTCTCATAAAATTGCGGGCCATCCTTTCTCTCTAAAGTGGTTTTCCACTGTCGCGTATATTTTACGTCATCCATTGCCTCAGTGCGTGTAAAGTTAAAAGTTGAACCTCTGCTATTTTAGAAATCCATTTTACATCGGGGTAGGCCATAAGAAAATGGGGTTGAGGGAATTCCTGCTTTTCATGTATTTTTTTTGCTTTGCAAGTTCAAGTTGAAGCTCTACTATTTTAGAAATCCACTTTATTTAGGGACGGAGCATAAGAAAATGGGGTTGAGAGGGGGTTTCTGCTTATCATGTTTTTTTGTTGTTGTTGTTTTGCAATGTGTTTAAGAGTTGATAATCGTTTACGAGAGTTTGCACCTTTCACATTATTATTGTTACAACTATTCTTGAGGAAAAAATAGTGCCCTACAAAATTGAGTGCCCGTAATGTTCAGTAACTGCAGCAGTAAAAAACAAGATTTGTATCCCTTGCTGTGTTTGCCTAAGGGAGCTTAGAATGAAACAAGTGTCCGCAGCTGTGTCCCCCGCACTTACTGGAGTGTGTAAATAAAGAATTTGTTTGGGAGTTCAGACGGGGTTTTGTTTTCTTTTCGAAGGGTAGGGATTTGAATCTTGAGAGAAAGGTTTTCAGTGTAAAGTTCGAGTTGTATATTCCCTTTCCGTCTTTCTTATTTGGGAAAATACGTGGACTGTACCTCCCAGAGGCTCTGTGGTCTTGAAACATGCATTTGAAGGTCAGTTTCCATTTTTGCTTCTACCTGCTTGAAGCATGTTATGAAAGGTGCGCTGCAGGGGTAATTTCGATAGTACAATCGTTTGGCTTATTCCTCTATCTATACACGAAATGTAAGACTTTTGAACTCCGACTTAAGCTATGGTTGATAAAAATTTCGATCTGATTCTAATTATGACTCTGAAATTAAGGCTAGAAATTATATCTTTTATGAGGGGTAATGTTGCGATGCATTCCGGAGCAAACGCAATAAATGAAAGTTGTACGAGGATTTAAAGGTTTTGAGTCTCTTGATTAAATATATTTTGAAAACGTTTGCTCTTGAACAAAGTACGAGTGAGGAAATCCACGGCGTAATTTTAATACAAGTTCTTAGTTAACACTTAACCCTAAATTTTGTTAGTTTTTCAAGAATAGTATCCAACATGTTTAATACTATGTGCTTGGAAGATAATTCGTAAGGTTTTGAGTTTGCGAACTCTAAATCTTTTATCACCCAGACATGTTAAAATCTTGGTATTCTCAGCGGTCAGAAGTCTTCTGGCGAAAAACGTCGAGCACCTTAAAATTGCTGCAGCTAAGTCTGACTTCTAGCTACTTCGGTGAGATCTGTTCCCTCCTCATGTCATCAGTGGAGGAGTGAAATCTAAACTGCGTTCACTCGAATATTCTATATTTAACCGTCATATAAGTGAATAATTTGCCGCATACATACGCTCCCTTTTGTTTTCTTAATACACACTAATGAAACTTGCAAACAGTTTGTCATCTAACGTCGCATGATTATGGGTTATTAAGGTTGTCACATATTAACATCCTTTGTTGGGAGCAAAGTGTCGACAGTGTTTTAATGGCTACCACAAATATCTTTAGACTGATCAAATCAGAAACACATATTATTAAGCTCACTAAACGGAGCCCCAGTGAATCAACAAGATTTCATGTTGTAACAAATGCCAGCCGAGTACGTTTCAAAACCGTTTACTAGTAAAAACAACAAAGAATTTTAAAATTGTATTAATAAACGCATAAATGACTAACGACAAGAGAGAATAATCTAACGACAAAAACTTGAGAGACGCACGTTATTAAGAATGTCTTAGGATAGAAATAAACTGTGACAATAATGATTGATTTTCGTAATAATTGAGGTACTGGCAATAACAAACTGTATTGTTTGTTCAGTTGCAATAATGCGATGTTCGATGCGCATTAAATCTAGCCGGAGTAATGAAAATAGAACTATAAATTTTTCATTATTTATATATTTTTTTCATTTCTGTTTTCATTATATTCTCTATAATTAAAGCTTCCCGCTAATCTTACAGACCTTTTGCGTCAAATACCATGAATGCTTATTACATAGCAAAATCACAATCAGATTGTCAATTCCCAAACAAGTTTCAATACTCCTATAATCTTTGATAAATAACACGCTAGTACGCGGCAGTATTGATGTAGCATCCACACCAAGAAGGTTACTGCATGAAAATAAAAGTTAATGGGCCCGTTTTAACGCCTGTATTAGCTTGGGTAAAGAGGGGTAAAAACACAAGCACACGACTAGAATTCATTTCACAACATATTTGTAAATATTAATATATAATACGGCAAAGACGTTTAAAATTGTATAATAACCGTGTAATGACTATAGACAAAAACTTGAGTCACACACTTTATTAAACAGCGTCTCGTACGACTCATTAGCGTACATCCCATACTTAAAAAGGGTACCTTATTGGTTCGCCCAGGGTTCGCCATTTAGAAGTGTCTTTGAATTTAACGGTCCATGAATTTAACAAAATCAGTTATAAATTTGTTGTAGAATGCAAACGTTATTCTAGAAAATAAATTGCTAAAGCAATGATTGATTTTTTTTTAATAATTAAGGTATTGGTAATAAAAAATTGAATAATTTCTTCAGTTGCAATGATGCGATGTTCGATGAGCTTTCAGCTAGAATAATGGATAAACATATCATATATTGCTTAATTTCTCCTTTTTTTGTTTCATTATGTTCGTTATGATTAAAGCAATCTAACCCCTCTAAGGTCAAAATACAGAGCTATTGCCATACACCGAAAATCACAATCAGATTTCTGATTTCCCGAACAAGATTTCATCCAATCCAAAATACTATGCAATTCAGATGACCTTGCTGAGACGCAATACAAGCAGACCATGGTTACTGTATGCAAAGAATAGCAAATAATACCAAACGCACGAAAGAAATTTGCAAAATTGTAAAATGTCTTTGTCGTGTACTATGGAAACAGGGGCGGATCTAGGGGGAGGGTGCAGGGTGTGCGCCCCCCCCCCCCCCCCCCCCGAGATGACCTGCGGTTTTCTAATACAGCGGGTATTCTGCAAAAAAAAAAACTATGTGGTTTATTGGTGTTGAAGTAGAGCAAGAGACGACTGCACCCCCTCCTAAAAAAAATCCTGGATCCGCCCCTGGAAAAGTACTATGAAAAGTATTTGCCAAATTAGACAGACGTTGGGAATACACATAACTCCATTGGGATTCAGTTTTATTTGACTAAAATTATATGGCCATCGTACATAGTTTTGTAGAAGGATACTTAAAATAGTTATAACCGTTAATGATTCTCTGTAAAAGGGGAAAAATGGAAGACGATGACGGATTGAACCTCTTATAACAGATGCCAAAATTTGAGAAACAGTTTCCAGCAATATACCTAGTATATTCCTTACAGCGAATCCGATTCCTCACTAAATTAAGTGTTGTACTTACTTTTGCAGTTCTTTCTTCGTGAAAAGCGAGTGACATCATATTTGAGAGCAGAAAAAGACTATGACTCTAGCCCCGACCGGGACAGATTCAGGGACCATCCAACCAGAAACCAACCTATCAGGTGGCGATACGGGCCAAGGAGCTAGCCAATCACAGAATGCTCTTGAAGTTGCCTTCAGTATAATCGCGAGCTGTGCTTTTGTGTTCAACCTTGCCTTCTGTGTAGTGCTCTTAAAGAAACGTGCCATGCTAAAAAAGCCACATAATTCTCTTCTGTTTAACTTGGCCTTGACTGATTTACTTACAGGTACAGTATGCTTTGATTTAAATGCACTTTTGTCTTACCCAAGGATGGTATGGTAGATCGGTATATATCTTTAGAGAACATATGTCAAGCATTGAATTAGTTTAGTTTACAGCTTTGAGATTTGATTGCAATAGCCAATACCCACCTTACTTCGATGAATAATAGTTAGATATCCGATGAATAGCGCTATCCATCGTTTGAAACACCAGGCCCAGATAAATCACTGTTCAAAGGAGGCAATTGTTTTCCTTATACTTATCCGCCGTGATTTATATCTAGTAGATATCCCTGTCCAGCGTTTGAACAACCCTGAATTAATTTCTTTCTTGACAGGCGCCTTCCTGATTTTAACACCCGGTTACGTCTCGGATAAACCCTTGTTTCCAATAGCCGACGGGTTTGGTGGTCAGCTGTTTTGCGCGCTGCTGGGAAATAGGTACCTCCTCTTTCTGGTGGCCAAAGAATCTGTTTTCCTGGTCACATGTCTTGCCGTGGAACGCTGGTACTGTGTGATGAGACCAATGGAGTACAAAAAACACTTTGGAAGAAAAAGACTCTTAATTTACATAGTGGTTTCTTGGATCGCTAGCTGCGCTTTGCAAAGTCACAAATTTCTTGAGCAAAAACTCAGTGGAAATAAATGCGTTCCTGTTGATGTTCCCTATGGTAGAGAAGGTGCACAAGCATTCATTTCCATCAAAAGTGTCAGCACTTTTGTGATCCCTTGTTTCGTCACGTGGCTTACCTTTGCTCATATAAAGTTTCGTGCACCTGTTTATCTGAATGACAAATCATCGCACAGTGAGCGCCGGGAAAGACAGCAAAAGCTCGTACTGCGCATGTGCGCTTTCACAGCTTTTGTGGTCACATTGTGTTGGCTTCCCGCCCAATTGAGTTACACTTTAACTCCGTTTGGTATCACTCGCGTTAGCAGTCCGTTCCACAAAGCGTTCAATGTTGTTTCGCTCGTTAACTCGTGTATAAATCCTTTTATATACTGGTATTATCACAGGGAGTACAGAGAAGAATTCATCCGGCTTTTCTGTTTCTGCAAACTCGCCAAGAAAGTTGTTATCGGTAAACAACAAGACGTGAGCCCCTCAAGTAGCAAGTCTTGAATTTTCGTCAAGAACTGGAACTAGCTTGAAGTCGAGGCTGATGCAGAACCTGCTTGTTAGCCGAACGCGAAACCGGCTTGAACCACTCCCCTACAAAAATAATCGGTCAACGTACCTTATAGGGAGCCCAAGAGGTACTGAACAAAATCAGATTTTATACGCAGAGGCATCTCCCTCAGGTCTTCCCCCGGTTCTTCCAATAGACCATTTTAGTCACAGAAGGTACCCCTTTCATATACCTTTTATTGACAAATGGTACCCCTTTCACATACCACGTTAAAAAATGAATAAATCACCAGGCCAGAAAATTGCCTTGTCCTTTCAGGACAAAATACGCCTGTTAGCCCTCAGTTTAGTTCCTTTCACAGACCGCAATGACATCCAAAAAACGGCTGCCAGGGAGACTAGCCTTCAAGCAAGATCTTTTTTTTCCTTTCAGTAGCATTGTACCCTACACTGGGCAGGAGAAGGTGGTCATTCCCAATATAAATATTAATAAATATCAGACGCAGTGTTATTTACAAGCCTACACGTTAGGTTTGAAGGAGGTATTTTAGTACACTAAGTATGTAAAAATAAATGTAACTAATAACTAGATGTTAATTGCTTGCAAGAGGAATGTTTCTGAAACTGTCAGTTTTGACCTGGTAGAATGGAATTAGTCAGTTTTTTGTTTCATTCGTTTGTTTGCTAGCAACTCCTATTTTCACATTTGCCTATTTTAGAAAAAAAATGTACGTTTTTTTCCCCTTATCTTTTTAATATAGTTTTTCAAATGTACTTTTTTCTTTCGTTTTTGACGCGGCTGAAAAGAAATCGTATACTCAAGGACGACTTTCAGCTTTAAACTACGCAATAAAGAAAAAGTAATCGAGTCTGCAGAATTGAAATGTTATTAAACTTTAAAGATTTTGGAAAGGAAATATTGTCTTTCATAAAAATATGTATATGTATGAGCAGTAATTGGTAAAGATCAGCACGGTTGATATTACTGATAATAAAGATAAAAAATCACAAATATTGTTATTATCGTATACAGCATTTCTGTAATTCACCGTTAAAGACACCGAGACTTTGTAGAATTCTTGATGAATGAGACTAAGTTAATGCCGACATAGGGGCAACAATTTTTTGGACGCAGGATCATTTACATTCGATTTTTTTTTCGTTTTTTGTTCGCCATTAGAAACCCATTTTCTCTGGAGATTAACAGAGAGGAAACCGCAAATGGCCTGGAAATGATGTGCTAGTTAATCATTTATCTGAAAACATTATTGTAGAAGGCAACTTGTCAGTCTAGAAGGAAAGGATTCAAAATTAAAAATTGTGTCGGTGCGAATGAGGTTTTAATGTACAGTGCTAGATTACCACCATACAAACGAGTAGTATCTATTTTTAATATCAGATGAAAAAGTATTTTAATAATAATGAGGAGATTGTAACCGTTTACCTTTTTAACGGCTTACTGCCTTCTGATGAAAAAGTGGGGTGCAAGCGAAACCTCTGCTCGCGGAGTAGGTCTGTCGTGTTGTGGTACAGCTGGTTTTTATATTTATGCGGTTTCCATGAACCTAATCTAAAGGTAATCGCCTCTGTAAAAAAAATGAATTTTTTTTGTGTATATGTCATATTTAGATAAATATTTGTCTAAGAGGAAATACATTTAAAAGTAAACATTCTGTTATTTCTGGCCAAGCCCTGAGTTCATATAATGATATGATTTATTTTCAAGGTTGAATTCGTTTATCTTTTATCCTTTTAACGGGTCAAAGTTTTTCCTTATCAATAGTTTCCGTCAGTGTCATAAAAATTAAACAAGCGTTCATTCAGATTGGTCAGTTTCCTTGAAGCAGTTAACCTTCAATATCAAGATAGCGCGCATGAGCAGGCGTCTAATTCAAGTTCTATGTTATGGGAATACACTAACTAGAACATAGGATGAGCATATTTGGAACAAAACTGATAGAATCTCAAATCATTTGAACCATTATTTACAGTTCCTGTTTATCTGAGGAGCTCTTTTCCATTGGTTTTATAGGAGGTAAGTTTTAGTAAAAATATAGTTTAGTTCCTTACACAAATTAATGGCGAAAATATAAAACATAGAAAGCATGTAAGCATCGACTACTACTCTTTTTCCTTTGGCACCTGTATAATTTTAATGGAGTGTTTTAAAATATATGCGTGTGATGTGCTGCTGAATCTTTCTTCTTTTCTCTCCTGGAGAATTCTATGGAAAAGACCATTATGTTTTGTAATTTTCACCCCAAAAGAATTACAGTAACTGATTACCCTTAGGGTAGGGTAAACAATATTTTTAATTAAAATTTTCATAATATAAATTGAAAGTAACACTGAACCCCGCTGTGTTATTTTGGGAACTTTTAAATTCCCCTTCTATCAAGGCGCTCTCAATTTCTGAACTTTAATTTGGCTTTCATCAAAAGGGAATTGCGCGTGCTGGTTCTGGAGTTCACTTCCAAGTTGTTTTTTTTGCTAAATAAGTAATGGAATAAATAATGATTTAGAGATACTATATAATAATAATCGTTATTCGTGCGACCGACTTCAACCATTCTTGATCGAATCAGATCGAAAAGAAATTTGGAAATCTTGGTTTTTGAGGAGAACAGAGGAAAACACCTGAGTAGTCAGAGATAGAAACCTCTCGAACAAAGAGGAGAACAAACAACAAACTTTACCAGCATATGTCGTCGTCCATGCGGGCATTCGCGCGGGCCTCGTTGCTAGGAAAAGAATGTTCATAACATTGCGGGTCATCCTTTCTTTCTTTTCTTTCTCTTGAGTATGTTTTACGTGTGTACACGTAAAATTTACACGCATAAATAAAATGGAGGCACTTTTGGAAAGGTCGCACATGAACGAAAAACGTGACGGCGAACTGCGCTCAAATTTTACGTTTTACGCGCGACCTTTCTTACATTGCCTAATTCGCGCGTAAAGTTAAAAGTTGCACTTCTGCTATTTTAGAAACCCATTTTATATAGGGATAGGCCATAAGAAAATGGGATTGAGGGAGTTTCTGCTTTTTAGGTATTTTTTTTGTTTGTTTGTTTTGCAATGTGTTTAAGGGCTGATAATCGTTTTCGACAGCTTGTACCTTTCACATTATTACAGTTACAACTATTAATGAGGAAAAAAAAGTGCCCTAAAAAATTGAGTGCCCGTAATGTTCAGTAACTGCAGCAGTAAAAAACAAGATTTGTATCCTTTGCTGTGTTTGCCTAAGGAAGCTTTAATAGAATGAAACAAGTGTCCACAGCTGTGTCCCCCGCGCTTACTAGAGTGTGTAAATAAAGAATTGGTTTGGGAGTTCAGGGATTTGAATCTTGAGAGAAAGCTTTTCAGAGTAAAGTTCGAGTTGTATATTCCCTATTTGGGAAAATACGTGGACTGTACCTCCCAGAGGCTCTGTGGTGTTGAAACATGCATTTGAAGGTCAACTTCCATTTTTGCTTCTACCTGCTTGAAGCATGTTATGAAAAGTGCGCTGCAGGGGTAATTTCGAGTTGGAAATTAACGCAATTAACAATTGCCCTCTTGATTGAAAATAGTAATAATGTCAGTGAACTCCTGGTAATGACGGTAAAGTACAATCGTTTGGCTTATTCCTCTATCTATACACGAAATGTAAGACTTTTGAACTCCGACTTAAGCTATGGTTGATAAAAATTTCGATCTGATTCTAATTATGAGTCTGAAATTAAGGCTAGAAATTATATCATTTATGAGGGGTAATATTGCGATGTATTCCGGAGCAAACGCAATAAATGAAAGTTGTACGAGGATTTAAAGGTTTTGAGTCTCTTGATTAAATATATTTTGAAAACGTTTGCTCTTGAACAAAGTACGAGTGAGGAAATTCACGGCGTAATTTTAATACAAGTTCTTAGTTAACACTTAACCCTAAATATTGTTAGTTTTTCAAAAATAGTATCCAACCTGTTTAATACTATGTTCTTGAAAGATAATTCGTAACGTTTTCAGTTTGCGAACTCCAAATTCAATTTTTTTTCTGAACGATGTTTAAGAATAATATGTTTGTGTTGTATTGTTTGTTGTGCTGTGAATGATCGATCTCTTCACGGCCATCTCGAGTTAGCTTAAATGTAACCTATCTCGCAGGAGCTCTTTCCTGTGAGTTTCATTGGGGCTCTTTCCTGTGAGTTAAATTGCCAGTACGCCTGGTCCAGGAGGGTTGAACATAAGGAATGTGTAGATGACTCCTAAAGGAGCGATAACTTGATAGTTTAATACAGTCATTGGTCTTCTCCTCGAGTTGAGCTCAGAAAACCTAGAACGCACGGTCGAGCGAGAAAAATGTGACGACGCGCGAAAACGGCGAAAGAGGAGCGCAATTTTAAGGTGCTCGACGTTTTTCGCCAGAAGACTTTTGACCGCTGAGAATATCAAGATTTTAACATGTCTGGGTGATAAAAGATTTAAGCCTTACATTTCTTCATTGTTGTTTGTTCAGCGTAGTACACGGGGATCTCGACTGACACAACCGACAGTAAATTACTCGTGTAGTACTTAGTTACCTGTTGTGCTGTTAAGCTTCTCACTAGGCGGTCCTCAGGAGTTTCGAAATTTGTTGGTGAAAGTCTTACACAAGCAGTCAAACTTTCGTTATAAAAAGCTATCACAATAATGAAACTTGCAAACAGTTTGTCGCCTAAACGTCGCATGATTATGGGTTATTAAGGTTGTAACATATCAACATCCTTTGTTGGGAGCAAAGTGTCGACAGTGTTTTAATGCCTACCACAAATATCTTTAGACTGATCAAATCAGAGACACATATTAAGCTCACTGAAGTGAGCCCCAATCAACAAGATTTCTTGTTGTAATTGTAAGAAAATGCCAGCCGAGTTCGTTTCAAAACCGTTCACTAGTAAAACATCAAAAACTTTGAAGACTGTTTTAATAAACGCATAAATGACTAACGACAAGAGAGAATAATCTGACGACAAAAACTT